ATAGTTATTTTTTTTTCTCGCCCATAACAAAGGATTACATTTATTGAATTAATGGAGTTATTAAATGTTATGACATTAGGATTAAGGATTCCGATTCCCGATTAATAGAAAATATGAAACGATTTAATATTAGTTAAATCTCTGGCTTTACAATGAAAGTCTATTTGATATGTTTTTGTTATTTATGGTGGTTCTTGTGATTACAATATTAATTAAATTTTCGATGAAAGCCTGTTCAATATCTGAAATAGTGCAATTAATGCAAGCCTCTACATATAATTTTTCTCCATCTCAAATGCTTCAAAGAAATGGCAGAAGCGAGAAGGGATGAAGAAAGCAAATGTTGCGGGCCGTGGGTCAATTATTGGACTTTATAATTAAAAAAAAATCATTTAAGCCATAAATAAAAATTTAAATATATATATAAATGTATATATCGTATGGGTCTTTAATATTTTTCTGGATGTCTAAACTTAGGATTTTTAAAAGAAAAAAAAATACATTTGAATTATCTCCACAAAAAGTGGTCTTGGACTTATAAAATGACATTTGAGTTTATGGAATGCCATGTGCATAAAGAATATATTATATAATCATATAAAAAAATGTGTTCAATTAGAGTTTAAATTTACTCATACAAAATTTGAAATTTGCTTTCTAAATGTAATTATCTTAGTTATTATTCGTATTGTGAAAATTATAATATAGATGAAATACAATTAAGAATAAATCAATGTAATTATGTAAATTCTCTCTATAAGTTTATTTGAATATGTACATAATTAGAGATTATATTAACCATACAAAATTTTAATTATAATTTTGTATTCTATAAAATTAATAAATACTTGACCAATGGAAGCTCAAAAAATTATTATATTAAACAATTTAAAATATTTTTATTTTTTCTATTTTTATTTATATTTATAATAACATAAATTTTTCTCCGTGCATCGCGCGGGTGAATTACTAGTTATATTTATAATATAAATATAAATAATATAATATGAAAGTGATACTCCTTTTAAAAGTGAGAGAATATTGTAGAGATAATAGAAAAAATAGTGAAAAAATTACAAATTTAATAACGTGAAAGTGTAACTCATTTTTAAAAGTGAAATAATATTACAAAGATAATAGCCTAACTCTAACATTTGCGTCACAAAGAGATTAGCATTGATCATATGTTCTCAAAAAAAAAAAAAAAAAAAAAAAAAGCATTGATCATATATCACGCTATGATAATATGTGGCCACAAAACAACATCAGCTTGTGAAATGTCCAACGTCCAATCCCCTAATTAATATGCCCATCAAATCCACGGCTCCCTTTCTCTGTCAACTCTGCTTTCCCTATCACAATCACGTAGTTTTTTTGATAAAGATCACAATCACGTAGTGTTCTTATTCTTCTTTTTTGTTTTTTTAGTCATGAAAGAAATTATAATGACGAGAATGTGCATAAAATAAATTTTATTTCTAAGTAACTGTGTGATTATATATTATTTTATTTATTAATTTATTTTATTTTTTTCACAGATATTTATAAAAATTAAACAGTTACAAATAAATAATAAAAGAAAATAAATAAAGAGGGCCTTAAGGCTTTTCTAGCTAAGCGGTTGACACAGTGATTAAATGAGTTAATACCCAAAATCGTCCTCGACTATAGTGGTTTTTCTCAATTTCGTCCTAAACGAGTAAACGACTTTGGTGACCTAATATCGTCCTAGACTTTTGTGTTTCGCTCAATTTAGTCCCAGACTTTTGTGTTTTTACTCAATTTAGTCCCTCATTTGTTATTCTGTCCATTTGGTGTTAAATAAATAGACAATTCAGTAATTTTAATATTGACATCTCTTTTCTCATAGACATGTGAATTGCGAAATCTTTTTTTTTACGAATTACTCCTAAAACTGCGAATGTAAAATTTGATTTGCAGGTCCGGGAGTAATTCTGGGTGTAATTCGTACAAGAAAGAGGAATTTCGCATTTCACAAGTTGAAAGTAAAGAGAGATCAATATTGACATTACTGAATTGTCTCTTTATTTAACACCAATTTGACGGAATAACAAATGGAGGACTAAATTGAGCGAAACACAAAAGTCTGGGACGATATTAGGTCACCAAAGTCGTTTAGGACGAAATTGAGAAAAAATACTATTGTCGAGGACGATTTTGGGTATTAACTCGTGATTAAATTATAGTGATGACTTTGGGACATAACTTTTACCAAATCTAGCCGTGGTTTCCAAACAAACTACGGCTAACATATCCATGGTATATACTATATACTACCAATAAATAAATAAATAAATAAATATATAATTCTCTTTTTTTTTTTAACACAAAGACTCAATGTCTCTACACTAGAGCTCACTGTTATGCCGCTCGACCACAAATTCTTTGACAAATAAATATATAATTTGAAATAATTATGAAAATGTTAACATATTTTATCTTCTTTGATTTAGAATCGTTGATGATCTGCCAAGGACATTGTGGTTCAATAGCACTAAGTTGCTCCTTTATATGGAAGGCGATGTTGAATCTTAGTGCTTCAATAGGTCAGTACTATTCAAAAAAGAAAAAAATTGTTGATGATCTCATATTCGTATTGAGTATTATTTTTTTTTTGCTAGACCATGAGGTGGAATGAGCCGGGTGCATTGTGCGCCCTAAGAGGGTATGTGTATTATGTAAGAATTCATTTATATTATGTTAGGACTCTATTACATTGTAGTATCTCTTCAAACATGAAGCAGAAAGAGTCAACAACGCTTCCACTAAGGTTCAATCTCATGACCTCTCATGTGGGAGGGGTCACTACATATCATCTGAGTACAAAGTGCATGGCATGTATTCCTACTTGAATTATTTTTAGTGATTAATTTTGAAATTTTAATTGTAAGATTACAAATGTTTTTTTTTTTTTTTTTTTTTTTTTGTAATCATCTTAAATAATGTCTGCACTAATTAGGGAAAGTTTAGTTGGGTATTTTAAAAATTTGTATATAATTATTATGCATAATTTGATATAATTATCACGATATACAAAATTTTAGTATTCAATTATTAAAGTTTAAATGTCTAAATATATTTGTTGCAATACATAATGTTGTTTAATATTTTTTTCATCAATTAAAGTGCTAAAAAATGTAGTAATTAATATGTCATAGCGACCTCAAATTCCTTCAATTGTGTTTTACAATAAATAAATAAATAAATATATATATATATATATATATATATATATATATATATATATATATATATATATATATATATATATAAGGAAGTGATCAGGTGCGGTTGTACAGGTGAACGCACATTAAGTACTAATCTGACGCACTTTAAGTACAAAACACACACACATTAAGCACACAAGCAAAACACCTTGAGAACACAAACTCACGCACCTTAAGCACAAAACTCACGCATCTTAAGCACAACCTCACGCACCTTAAGTACAAAACTCACGCACCTTAAGCACAAAACACACACGGCAAAAAGTTTCAACAACTACTCACATTAAGCACAAAACTCACGTATGTTAAGCACAAAACTCACGCACCTTAAGCACAAAACACACACACCTTAAAGTTTCAACAACTACTCACATTAAGCACAAAACTCACGCATGTTAAGCACAAAACTCACGCACTTAAGTTTCAACAACAACTCACATTAAGCATAAACTCATGCACATTAAACGCAAAACGCACGCACCTTAAGCACAAGACTCACGCACGTTATATACAAAACTTACGCATGTTACTCACCGCACAACTGCACGGGAAACACTCACACGCACATGAATCGACTTATATATATATATATATATATATATATATATATATATATATATATATATTCACACACACGGAAACACCCACAACATCTACTTGAAAATGTATTTTGGGTGAAATTAGCTTTGTGACACTAACCGATAAATGACCACAAGGAAATAAACTATGTGTGTGTTTGGTTTATGGGTTTACACACTAGGAATAGGAATCCAAACCATAGTTAGTGTTTGGTTGACAACATTTTAAAACAAACTATGGGATTTGATTACCATTCAATTATAAATCTCATTTCCTAGTTAAAAACGGGTATCATTACATCTTATTGGTAATATGATTTTTAAGTTTGAATTAGTCCTTTTAGATTTTTTTATTTTTTATTTTGGTTCATATTGGTGTTTTGGATGTCATTATATTGCGATCAATTGCCTTAATTTTTTATTTTTATATTTTTTAAAATTTATTCTCATTATAGGGTCATACATAACCAAACAGCAATATTGACAATCATTTCAATTCCACCCTACTACCAAACATGCAAAATACTTTCACCAAAACTCATTATCATTACCAAGTTTTTGATTCAAATTTCAATTCCCTTGTGCGAACCAAACACACCCTAACATATGTTAACCATTGTTAATTGAGTCAAACTAAAAAAGTCAATAGGCAGTTTCACATGAAGTCGAATTTGAAACATTGTTGTTACATAACTTTTGTGTGATTTAGGATTTTTAGAAACCAATAAGGGTGTGTTTAGAAATCAAGAAAATGACTTCTAGAAAACGTTTTATTGAAAAGGAAAAATTGTTAAATTGACCCCCTAAGTCAAGTGAATAGTGCAATTGGGTCCCCTAAATAAAACAAGCTCCGTTCAATCTCTTAGTAAAATTGTTCAATTAAGTCCGAATTGACCTATTTAGAAGTTTGAGTTAATTCTTTTAGATTTTTGGTTCACATTGGTGCTTTTGATGTCACTATATTAGGAGGATCAATTGACTTAATTTTTTATTTTGTATTTTTAAAACTTTTATTTTCATTATAAAGTCATACATAACCAAACATCAATATTAATAATTATTTTAATTCTATCCTACTATCAAACATGAAAAATACTTTCACCAAAATTCATTAACAAAACACACCCTAATGTGTATTAAACAATGGAATGATGGATGCCCAATTGCCCATAATTTATCTATAGAGAGTAAAGTGCATTTCATACCTACGTGTCGAGACTCGAGAGTAGTAGGCAGAGAGCATCTGAAGAAGAAGAAGAATAAGAAGAAGAAGAAGCTGACGGGAGTGTGAAGCTTCGTTTGTATCGCTGAGACTAGTCCCTCTGTCTTCCTTTTCCTGCAAAACTCTCCTTCTCCGGTACGGTGTATTGCTCTCTCTTTCTGATCTTTGTTCTTAACAAAATCTCAGTCCCTGGCTTTCTCATCCTCAGTGATACAGATTTGATTACATTTCTATATAATTCTGGTTTCATGTTACTATTTCATTCGCTTTATCAGTGCAATTTCTTTTTTAACCGATTCATTCGTAGATCAGGTTCAGAATTTTATGTTTGGAACATCGCGCTACTAATCTGTTATCGACTTATCCGTTTGGGATTTTCCGTGATCCAGATTACGATGGCTTCTACGGTGTTCACTCTCGCCTCTGCTTCTCCATCGGTTTCGCTGTCTTTGCAGGATAAGCTAAAGGTTAGTGACCAATTGGAGTGGTAGAATTGCTTGCTCTGTGTTGATTCACTTTTCTGCGAATATGGGATTGAATTGCGTTGGATTTGGTTGTTTTAACGAGGTGAAATGTGTTTCTGCTCTCATTTCTCTGACCAGGCTAAACCGAAGCTTCGCGAGTATGGCCAGTGCACGCTTTTTGGCAACGCGACAAAGGTGTCCCTTTGATTTGCGAAATGATTTTTATTCAATGGCATATTTTTCAATTATATCTGGTGAAAGTAGGGATTGTTTAGCTTTGAGTAATTTGATTCACTATAAAACTAGTGTATTAATTCATCATAATTGTAGAGAGATTGGGGGTGGTACAACAGAGACATAAACTTTCCTACTGTAATTAAACACGTGTTTCTTGTATTGGAAATCTTACTTATAGCTGGTTATCTTTTGTACAGTCTCATGGTCGAATGAGAATGGTAGCCACTGTTAATGTTTCTCGTTTTGAGGGCATTTCAATGGCTCCACCTGACCCCATCCTTGGAGTATCTGAAGCATTCAAGGCTGATACTGATGAAATGAAACTTAATCTTGGAGTTGGAGCATACCGTACTGAGGAACTTCAACCTTATGTTCTTGATGTTGTCAAGAAGGTAAGTTCATCTTCCTCTGTTCAATTAATGGGCCAATAACCTATGAAATACATCCATTTGTCTTGCATATTCCTCTTCAAAGCATAGTATGTGGTTAGCTCTGTAGTTTAATGTCTGACTGAGAGGCAAAAAAGGACTAATCTGGATTTTATATTCATTTACATTGTGATTCATGTCGCATAGGCTGAGAACCTTATGCTACAGAGGGGAGAAAACAAAGAGGTACATCTGTGATGATTAAATTTCATATTTTGAGAGAACCATTTTGATTGTCATGGATTTCTCACTGCTTAGTCACAATACACAGTATCTTCCAATAGAAGGTTTGGCTGCCTTCAACAAAGTCACTGCAGAGTTGTTGTTTGGTGCTGACAATGAAGTGATTCAACAAAAAAGGGTATCACACATCTTGTTTCTTTTCTTCATAAGAAATATTTTTCTGCATCAGCGAGAACTTATTTCATTTTGTTTCTGTTCAGTATAACATATTTTCTTTGTTTTATTTAGGTTGCAACTGTTCAGGGTCTTTCAGGAACTGGATCCTTAAGACTTGCAGCAGCACTGATAGAGCGTTATTTCCCTGGCTCAAAAGTTCTGATATCATCTCCAACATGGGGTCTGCATCATAGTTCTGTTGTTATTTATGGTATTTTTAAATCCTGATTATGATGCTCTTATTATCATTATTATTATTGCAGGTAATCACAAGAATATTTTCAATGATGCCAGAGTACCCTGGTCTGAATATCGCTATTATGATCCAAAAACAGTTGGTTTGGATTTTGAAGGAATGCTAGAAGACATAAAGGTCATTGTTGCCTTCACATCTCTTTCATATTACTGCCAAAAAGCAAAACTGAAATTGGAAATCGTTTTTATTTCCTACTTCCTAATATTTCTGTACGAGAGTTTATAGTTTTCCCTGTTGGGTGGCTTCACTGGTAGATAGTCACCCAAAAAGAAGCTCAAAATATTCTGGAATACAACCCTTTCCACCTTTTCTTTCCCATTCTACTGTGCATTTGTCTTGCTGCAGTAATTATTCATGCCATTTCCTCATAAAAAGAGTTTAATTCATTTAGAAAGAGGAAATGCATTGTATGATGCTATATATTGCACAGTATATTTGTATCACACTCATGCAGCTGTAGGCTGCAGTAATCCATCTCATTTATGCAATTACAGCTGTTTGTTCCAATCATTTTTGTTTGGAAATTTAGAGTTAAGAGCAATATGTTCCAATCCCTCTTATGCAATTAAAGTTGGCTGTTCAATCATTTTTGTTGGAAATTTTGAGTTAGTACATTTTCTTTGTTTTATTTTACTCAACAAACCACAGTGGGTGGAAAAAAATCTGTCTATATGCATCATATAAAACAAGAGATATTAACTGTAATTTCATCTTCTTGCATGAATCACATTTTAAATCTTATGCCACTAGTTGTCAACAGTCTGCCCCTGAAGGATCATTCATTTTGCTGCATGGCTGTGCTCACAACCCAACTGGTATTGATCCTACACCTGAACAGTGGGAAAAGATTGCAGACTTAATCCAAGAGAAGAACCACATTCCGTTTTTTGATGTTGCCTATCAGGTATTTTCTTCTACATGGTCTGGACTCCGGACTGTAGTTCATATTATTCAAATTTTTTTGGAGATCAAAAGTATCAGATATGTGACTTTGGAATTATTAAGTTTACTAAATAGCTTTGCAGTGTACAGAATGACAATACATTACCATTGAATTGTCTCACAATCCAAATCCTTTTTCAAATCTATACTGTACTGCAGGGATTTGCGAGTGGTAGCCTTGATGCAGATGCATCATCTGTGAGAATGTTTGCTTCACGTGGGTTGGAGCTGCTTGTTGCTCAGTCGTACAGTAAGAATCTGGGTCTTTATGCTGAAAGGATTGGAGCTATCAATGTTGTTTGCTCATCAGCGGATGCAGCAGCAAGGTGCAAAACCCTCCCATACATGAAGCTAGGACAGTTGCAATTAGAATTTTGTGTCAGAACCAATAAAATGTTTATTTTGTGATTTAAACTAGTAATATGTATGTGTACTTTATCATAGGGTGAAAAGCCAACTGAAGAGGCTGGCACGGCCAATGTACTCAAATCCTCCCATACATGGAGCTAGGATTGTTGCCAATGTCGTAGGAAACCCCGAGCTCTTCAATGAATGGAAACAAGAGATGGAAATGATGGCAGGGAGGATAAAGAGCGTGAGGCAAAAACTATATGACAGCCTGTCTTTGAAGGACAAGAGTGGGAAGGACTGGACATTTATTCTGAAGCAGATTGGCATGTTTTCCTTTACCGGCCTGAATAAAGCTCAGGTGATTCAATTCCCCATAAACTTATGTTTGATCATTTCTAGCTTCTTACTCTTTACTTTTATAATGCTAGACTAGATATCTCTTATATATTTGCCAATCTTGATTTATTTTATTCAGTGCACAACACCCCGTCAGAGTTGTATATCAATGCTGGCATGTATTCACCAGTAGTTTCATCTGATTATTATTTTTTTTTTTTTTCCTTTTGACTAATCAGAGCGAAAACATGTCGAATAAGTGGCATATATACATGACCAAAGATGGAAGAATATCCTTGGCTGGCTTATCTGCAGCGAAGTGCGAATATCTTGCAGATGCCATCATTGATTCATATTACAATGTCAGCTAGATAAATAAGACTGGAAGTACATTTTCATAGCAATTTTGATGAGTTACTTTGTTTCACTCTTTGATCCAATGACTTTTAACAAATCTTATAATAATAGTTGTCCAGCATGATGATTTACCCATCAATTAGAAGAGCCATTGGATTCAGAATATATTGTAATAATGGTTTTTCAATGTTAGGTTGTGCCAAGAAATTTTGGAACTTTTTGAATGTAAGGTTTTGCGTAAGAGATCTTTGTGTGATATGTCAATCCCATTAAATTTACTTGGTAGTTGTATTAGATATTAATAATGTAATGTAATTATTATAGGTAAATGATCTAGTTTTGTTGTAAGCTTACTTGGTGCACAATTGCTTTCAAAGTGTCTGTGTACATTTTTTTTTTTCTTAAATTATTTTTTTGAATTTTAATGTAAATCTGCAAATACAGTGTGTTTCTGGGAGGGCACTTGATATGTACACCAGTGTGAGAAAGAACAAATTAAATTACACATGGTGGGTGTGGCTTCAATCAATCAATATACAAGGTAATGAATAATACTCTCACTCACAAATAAAATATATTCCATTCCAATTAGCAATGCCCAATAATGTCCCTTCTTCACCTTCTTATTCTTCTTCTTCTGTCAGCTTACTATCACCAAAATATTGTGCCAAGAAACAGATTGAAGTGAGCAGTGTCCTAAGATGCAGACTTCCTTCCATTCCCAGAATCATGAGTTTTGTGCAGTCGCAGAAGCTCTAAGCGTCCCGCCCAACTCAATTGGAACGAGGGGGATAAGAGAATGCAGCACATCTGTTATCAATGGACGATAACTTGGCTCCGGTTGGACACATAGCACAGCTACTGCTGCAACCTACACAACCCCAAACAAGGTTAGCTTAGGTTATTGGTTGTGTAAGAAACTATATAGAGAGATGATTCAAGGAGTTTTGGTTCGGGTAGTGAAAATAACTAAGCATTGATAGATAGATGGAATGGAGAAGATTATATTTATTTATGATTTAATGTGTGCAGTGCAAAACCTGGTATAAATGCTTTAAATCCATTGTATTTCTGATCACTGAATCCACGATGTTCGGGAGCTTTGATCTATCTGTGAGCTCCGGCATTGCCTGCCGGGCATTGCATAAACAAAAGCTTCAAATTAACTTCAACAACATATTCATACCAACAAATAAAATTAAAAAGAAACCGATGTCTACATACCCATGACACAATGGATTGGCACTGACCTTGTGCCAGTTTCTCCATCGCCCTTCTTCCTAGTAGAAGCTCCAAAAGTACAACTCCAAATGCATAAACATCGCTTTTATCAGTTAACTTTCCTGCCGCGATTCAGATTCATTATATTGCCTTCTTTACAAAATAAATCCTAAAATTATATATTTTACAGCAATATTTTACTGCCCTTTCGGTTCGTTGCTTAACAATCAAATCAAAGGCATCAAATTTCAGACAAAATAAATGGAGCTAAAACTAAGCATGTTAGGTTGCCTAACCAAAGTATTATCTTAGTCTCCTATGATATGAAATGACTTTGCATGTGCACTTAGTCCCACATGTACTTAAACAAACACTCCTAAGTTTTAAACAAACATTAATTCCACAGAACACTGTTCCCTGGACTTCTGAGCACTGATAAAACAATCATTTCTTTTCTTTTTTAACAGATAGATAAGAAGTATTATATTATTCCTGAAGCATGGTTTTTCGTCGTATAATCTAAGAATTTTAGATAGCATACCGTCTAATAGGTATTCTGGAGCTACATATCCTAAGGTTCCCGAGAGCTTGGCGTCGTTCTTGTTTTGGGCCCCATCTGGCACAGCGAGGCCAAAATCTGAAAGCTGAAGTGAACCAAACACTACTAGTAGGTGATGAAGTTTCATGTTTAATGATTCAAGGAAGCAGAGAAAGATCATAGATTATTATTTACCTTGGCATTGAAGTTGGAATCCAGAAGGATATTAGAGGATTTCAGATCTCGATGGATTATGGGTGGATTGCAGCATTCATGCAAATATTCTAATCCACTGCTCACCAGAAGAGTCAATTCAATTATTGAAACCTACCCTTATTTCCACATGCTCATGTGCTGTGGTGTCTATTGCTTAAAAAACCACTCACCTCGCTATCCCCACCGCGATTTTCATCCTGAGATTCCATGTTAACGCTGATCCCCGGGAAGGTCCTGATCCACAGTGAAAACGAACAAGAAAACTATGCTTTTCACATTCCAAATTTCCAAATCCCGTGTTTTTTTTTTTACTACTCTAAAGATATCACAGTACCTACCATGTAGTTGATCTTCCAGAGATCCGTTTTCCATCAACTCATACACGATTAGCCTTGTATCAGCACGGATGCTATACCCGAACAAAGATATCACATTTGGATGCTGAATTTTGCTCAATAACTCCACCTCGGTCTACAAGATAGATAGCTTTTAATAAAAACGAGAAAAAGATTCAAAAGTAAAACACTAAAACCGTGCCCACCCACCTCAAATTCTTGTATGGCATCATCATCTTGAGTTACGCCTTCTTGTAGCTTCTTCACAGCTACAAACGAGTCGTCTTCCAGCTTGCCCTTGTATACACAACTGAACCCCCCTTTCCCCAAGATTTCGCTTTCCCGGAAATTGTTTGTGGCCAATTCTAGCGTCTCGTACTCCATTAAAGATACGCATTTTTTCACACATGAATTTTCCTTTGAGCAGTTCACATATGATGGAAATCGAGGCTTCCCTTTAACTATATCATCTTCACAACAAATTAAAGAACACAATAATTCTCATTAATTTTTGCAAACTAACATACATCACAAACTTATTAGTACCTGAAGTGTGAATAGTTTCATCGATTCTCTTCTTGCAGTGATAAATCCTCCACAAACAACCCATGACCAAGATGATTGCACCCAGCACCACACCAGAAGCAGAAATGAGTGCTATAAATAATGTCCTATTGGGATCCATATCCTGCTTGCTGCTTACTATTTCAATCCCTGATTACAATTTTATTATTAATCAATCCAAAATCCAAATACGAAACAGACAGACAATAACCCCAGAGATTGCTACAAATCAAGAATAAAGCCAGAAAAATCAAAATTTGCAGAAAAAAGAATACCCTTTTCCATATGCAGAAAATCTTGCATTTATCCAATCCCACCCAACAATAAAAAGGATACCATAAAACCCATTCCTCCTTCCCTCCATCCCTCTTTAAACCATTTCATTTAAAAACTTGAACTTTAGAAATATATATATGATGCCACTGCAAAAACCAAGAAATTAAAGAACAAAAACAGCTACCTACCTGGAGAGTAGGTTGCTGCTGATGATGCTGATGCATAGAATGGTGAAGAAATGGGTGCAGACATGGAAGAAAGAGGAGGGTCTGCTCTGCCATAAACTGATCTGAGAGTAGAAAGATGAAGGACCCAAAAGGGAAAATCCACAAACGTTACTACTACAACATTCCTCTTCATTACTATGTTTCTTTCTTAGCTCTTCTAAGAAAGAGAGAGTTGCTAAATAGAGACAGAGAGACAGAGGAAGAAGAAAAGCTTAGATGAAGTCTGTTTTCTGGGATTTCTAAATTCTATATATTACCGTTTCCCAAAATTTGAATCCTCTCCCTCCCTCAATCCCAAATTTTACTCTGTTTAGTATGCAAGCAAGCTTGACTTCTTGATACTTTTATGTTTGTTTTTGTTTTATTGTTAATTTTAGCATATTTGGTCCATTTTAATTAAAATTAATTATTCTTCAGTTTACATAAAAAACGTCATTGCTCTCCAAATGTACGCTCTAAATGGAGTATGTCTTGTGACTAAAATTAACTATTGTCTATTATGTCAAAATTAGAAATCTTTCATTAAATATAAAATTAAAAAATAACTTATTTTTAAATTTATATAATGAAATTTTAATATCTTTGTTTCATATTGTGTCTTCTTCTTTTATTTCTATAAATGTTCGACTGATTTTCTTTTTAATATGGTATTCAAATTTTGAAACTAAAATCATTGAAATGAACAGGGACAAATGCATGTTAAATTTCAACCATGAATCATAGAAAAGATTTTTAATGCCCAAAGACATAAATGTCTAGGATTTCAACAGGAAAATATTTTATTCATTATTTCGATCTAGCTTCTCAACCTTCACCGCTCTTAACAGATCCACCATCTTTTGCATCACATTGCTTGTTAGGCTCCAATGTTTCAATAGGACTTTCAGGCACCTATCCATCCAGAAAGTCGTGAAAGGCAGGAAAAGTCAAATAACTAAATAAAGTTACACAGAGAGGAAAACAATGTTAGTGACAAATAAGTAAACTTCATGGAAAATTGCATCATTGAATCCTCTCACAATTGTGTTAGAACAGAACTGCAACATATACTTGTGAGTGGTTGTTTTGTATCTAAACAAATTAGTAACCACCAAAAAATTCATTATCTCGTAAACTTGCCCTTCTTTAAATCTCTTCGAAAAATTTTGAACATAATTTTTAGGAATATGTGCATGAAGAAAAAGTTCCCTGAAATTGAAGTGTAAAAAAAATATATAGTAAAAAACCATATGCATAAACAAAACCTTTTGAAATAAAAAATATTCAAACGATAGTACAAATACAATACCTCTTCATCATGGAATACGAACTCTATAGACTTGATTATTTCAACACCTCTTGTCTCTGGAATCTCTTAGGTACGCACCACTCTAAACTTGATTGCATTTCTTTTGTTTCTAGGAAAAATTTCACATCCAACAATATCGATTAAAGTTGAAGCCATGCGTATTTGGTGTAAATAGGAGTCTATAGACGCAGAATTTCGTTGGAAGTTTATAGCTATATGCAAATATAATGAAGTGTATAAATAGGAAAAGGAATCCATATTTGGAAGTTTATAGCTATATGCAAATATAATGAAGTGTATAAATAGGAAAAGGAATCCATCTTTACGCAAATAAATTAAAGAATCCATATTTACGGAAATAAATTGAAAAAGAAATCTTTAAAATTACTATTATGCAAAATCAGTATTCTGCATAGGGCTGAGCAATATCTGACCGCCCCGAACACCGAAACCACTCTCGGCATGGATAACCGTATCCGAAGTATGGATATCCGACCCGAACCGAAAAACATGCCAGATTGATTAATTCGGATAGGGGGTACAATTTGATACCCGATCCGTCCGAATATCCAAAAATAATTATGGATATTTTAGAATACATCTATACGACGTCGTTTTGGTTATATATATATACATGTTATAAGCCGAAGCCCTAGACCATTCCTTCATTTCACAGCAGCTGCATTAGTTTCTTCTCTGTTCTCTACTCCTCTCTCAATTTTTCTACCCACTAGTATCTTCTCTCATTCTCAGTTCTCAATCCTCTACTTCTCTCTTAGTTTCTCTACCCACAAATTCTTGTATCCTCTCTCCTTCTCAGATCTCAATCCTCTCACAGAGTCGCAATCTCACTCTCTCACTCTTTGAGACTCTTAGTTCTCGACTCTCTATTCCGATGGTTCATTATTCCCGGTGGTTCGGTGATATATCGGTGGACGATGGCGACAGATTGAAGCCCTACGTCGGAGTCTCGGATGGTTGTAGTCTCGTAGAAGTCCTTGTTTTCTGAGGATTTTTGGGAGAAATGAAGTAATCGCAAACTCTAATTTTTTTTTTTCATTTATTCATCTTTATTTTGAATTTTTGATATACTGTGTTCATGTATTGTATACATTGTATATCTATAAATACGCATAAAGGCTCAGTGATTTTTGCCCATGACAATTTCAGGCAATTTTTCTTGCATTCTGTGCTTTCCCTGTGGTACCCGAGAAAATCTATCGCGGTTTTGCCCTTACCGATGCATTTGCTTTGACTCATTTACCCTTACCGATGCATCGGCGGTTAATAGGACTGGCACATTTGGTTCATTTTCCGGCCAATCGGCTTTCGTCACTCACGTTGTGCCCATTTCTTTTCCGCCATACCGATGAGATGATTTCGGCCAACAATAATATTTATTTATGTTTTGCGTCCTTCTATCGCCGTTGGTCAGTTTGCATCATGCTGACCTTCTCTGCCTCTGTACTTTTTGCAAATAATTATTGTTTTTTTTTTTATTTTGCTTATTACATTTGATTTGGGTTTTTTTGGGTCCTTTTATCGCCGTTATTCGGCTTCCACCATACTCATATTCTGGCTTCTGTACTTACTTCTCGCGAAATCTCGCGAATTCAAGGGATTTGGTGGTCATATCTGTACGTGCGCATTCAGTTCTTTACGTTTGCTTATCTAGCCTGCTTATCCATCGTTTGCTTATCGCGGGGAGTGGTTGATGACTTATATATATATATATATATATATATATATATATATATATATATATATATATATATATATATATATATATATATATATATATATATATATATATATATATATATATATATATATGCGCTGTGAGATAGAGTATCAGTGTTTGGATGCTTGTCTCATTCTACCGGTCTGCAATTAACAGAGCAAGGTATGTTTACCCTCCTTCTCTTTTAGTGCTTCTTGTTGGCTCTCTTCTTATCCGTTATATTTATTGATGATATTGATGATGATGTTGATGATATTTATTGCCGTTATATTTATTGATGATATATTGATTATGATATTGATGATATTTATTGCCCCTTCGCGACGAATTCGTTCATTTATTGCGGTTTGTGATTGGCGGCCAGCTGCTCTTGTTTTAATCATGTCTGGTACTCCTTCGCCCTTACTTTTCTTGTTGTTTTCTTCATGTATTGTATTCGGCTTCATTTATTGTTGTATTCAGCCTTCGTCTTTTTGTGATTCAGTGATGATGTCTATTAAATGGTGACGGTTTTCGCTTCGTATCGTTAGCCTATGTTGACATGTGTTCTGCGCGTTTGCTAGGTTTGGTCGGTGGTGCATGCTGTTCGTGCTATCTCTGCATATGCTCTTACTTTGGTCGATCTCGTAAACTCTGTCTCTTGTTTTTTTTTTTTTTCTGAAAGATATTTGATTCTCTTTTTTTTTTTTTTTTTTTTTTTTACGTGCACTGCACGTTTACGCTAATCTTTCCAAACTGACCGTCTCTTGTTCTGTCAGTTGGCGTCTGCTCGCTTGTTATATGGTCCGCGCTTTTCATTTCCCCTTCACATGGCTTCTGCACGGCCGTCTATGCCGTTCATGGAGTGCGTTTTTTTTCCCATGTATTGTGCCTAGTACTTCGGTTGTCCTTGTCGTCTCATGGACACCGTCGTTCTATTCGCATGCTGTGTTCTTCATTCGTGACGATTCCCTTTACTCCCTTTACTTTTGGTCTTACTTACCTGTTTAGTGAGTGGTTATTGTTCGGTGTTGGAGGCTGTCTGCGCGTTCTGACCCCGGTGGATGGTCGTTGTCAGTCAAGCATGATTCGTTTGCGTATACCCAGTATTTTGCATGTCGTTTGTGTACTTGTGCTTCGGTATGGTTATAGCATGCCTCATCCGGTGCGTTGTAGACGGTGTTTCGTTACTAATAGATGGCCGTTTTGGGCGACAGTTTTGTACTTATGCCGGTGCGGTTTCTACAAATTGTTTGAACTGCTACGTTCCCGTACTTGCGGTAGACTTTTGTTGTGCCGTTTTGGACCGGCGGGTTTTCGGCCCAACATACAGTTTGTTGTTGTCCGTTGGTTTGATCGTGTGTACTGTTAGAGTGCTTACTTTGCCTGCGTTTGCGTCTTTACGCAAATAAATTAAAGAATCCATATTTATGGAAATAATTTGAAAAAGAAATCTTTAAAATTACTATTACGCAAAATTAGTATTCTGCATGTGTAGAATTCGAATTATTATTATTGGTATAACATCAGTATTCGAATTATTATTATTGGTGTAAATAATAATTAATAAATTATTGTTTCCTTATAAAATTACAAAGAATTTCCAAGGAATTTTCCCGTTTATTACGCAGAATTTGTTTCCATTATTTATTATCACAATTAAAATGGTTTAATTATTCTCAAAATTTGGTAACCATTTTCTATTTTTAAGTACATATTGACTTTAATTTTCTATATAACATTTTGTTACCAATTAAGCTTTATTAATTTTTTTTTACCGATTAATTAATATTCATATTAGTTTGGGCAGAAAAGTTGATGAGGAAAATTTTACTTTTATTAATAGTATAAATTTGTACATCATGTCTACTTTTTTTTTTTTTACACTTATAAACACTTTTTTTTTCTATTTTTCTTTAAGGAATAATTTATATATTATACGTACTTTGAAGAAGTTGAAGACTAGACCACGATTCAATTCCAGTTTCAAATCAATGGTTCAAGGTTCCAATGAAACCTTATATGGATGGATCAGTTATGGTTTGGACCTTTTTTTTCTTCCCCATATTATAATTATTGAAATTATCTAAAATGTTAAGATTAAGGCAAATTATCCTGTAAAATCGGTTCATGGATGGGTCTCAATCCATGAGACAGGTAGAGTTAGGAGAATTTGGTTCTTATGGTATATGAGTGATGGGTAAATACGCATAAGGACTACCCGTGAAGTCATCCGACCGGTCCGCTATAACCATCAGTCAAACGAAACCAAATCACTTGT